GAGCTCTCATTCCTGATCCTCTGAATATAAATGAGAACTGAAAAACAAGAGTTACGAGGAGAGGTTTGTGGCGTTAAGTAGGCCAAAGCTCGAAGATAGAAGAAAAAGAGGTGATATGATCACCACTTACAAAATAACTACAGGAGTCGACCAAATTGACAAAGAGGAATTCATAAAACCAGAAGCTTCAAGAACAATAGGACACAGATTCAAGCTAAGGAAACAAAGGTGCCAACAAATATTTGAAAACTTTCTTTTGCAAACAGAGTGGTAGACGGTTGGCACAAGTTAAGTGAGGTGTAGTGGTAGAGGCCACAACCGTCAGTAGTTTCAAAGTGTTATGCGACAAAGAGTACTGGGAAGACGGGACACCACGAGCTTAGCGCTCATTCTGTAACTGCACTTAGGTAATTACACACACACACACACACACACACACACACACACACACACACACACACACACACACACACACACACACACACACACACACACACACTTACACACACACACACACACACACACACACACACACACACACACACACACACACACATCCCTATCCCTCCTCCCCCCTCACCCCGTATCCTCCATGTCCCCCCTTCCATGAAACCCCCACCCCTCACCCCAAACTCCCCTGAAACCCTGCAAACCACCTCACAGATCATCTCACCCACTGAAAAGCTTCCCACACCAGCAGAATGCTCACCAAGAAAGGGACAAGAAAAGGAACTGAAGAAAGTGAGCTTCAAGGTAATGTACACTAACATAGATGGAATTACAAATAAAACAAGTGAACTCGGAGAATGGGCACTAGAAGAAAACCCAGACATAATAGCACTCACAGAAACAAAGCTAACAAACACCATAACAAACGCAGTGTTTCCACAGGGCTACTATGTAGTGAGGAAAGAGAGAGAAGGGAGAGGAGGAGGTGGTGTAGCTTTGCTACTAAGAGAAGGTTGGAGTTTCGAAGAGATGGTAATTCAGAACTGTGAAGGTTTCAGTGACTACATATCAGGCACCATAGCAACTGGAGGACAGAAAATTATAGTAGTAGTCATATATAACCCCCCACCGAATGTCAGAAAACCCAGACAGGAATATGATAGAAACAACTTGGCCACCATCAATATAATAGAGAGAGCAGCTTCTGTGGCTAGCAGGAACGGATCCAAGCTACTAATCATGTGAGACTTCAACCATGGAAAGATAGATTGTGGGAACAGAGACCCACATGGAGGCCCAGACACATGGAGAGCTAAGCTGCTGGATGTGGCAACAAGAAACTTTCTAAGTCAACACGTCAAGGGGTCCGACAAGAACGAGAGGAGGGGATGAACCAGCCTTGCTTGATCTGATATTTACCCTAAATGAGTCGGATATAAGGGAAGTTAAGTTGGAAGCCCCCTTGGGAATGAGTGATCATAGTGTATTGAGCTTTGAGTACCTGGTTGAGCTAGGAATTATCACCCCAAAAAAGAACTGGGAAACAAAGGGCTGGCGTACCGAAAGGGAAACTATGAGGAGATGAATAAATTCCTATGGAATATACATTGGGACACAGAACTCGGAACCAAGTCCGTACAAGACATGATGGACTATGTCACCCAAAAATGTCAGGAGGCTGTAAGCAGGTTTGTCCCAGCCCAACAGGAAAAAACAGAGAAGCAAAGGAAGAATCCGTGGTTTAATAGGGAATGTATGAAAGCAAAGGAGCTGAACAAAAGGGCATGGAGGAACTTCCGTAATAACAGAACACCATAAAGTAGAGAGAGATACCAGAGAACCAGGAACGAGTATGTTAGTGTGAGAAGAGCAGCTGAGAAAAGGTATGAAAATCATATAGCTAATAAAGCCAAGACCTAACCAAAGCTACTACACAGTCACATCAGGAGGAAGACAACAGTGAAGGAACAGGTGATGAAACTTAGGGTGGGCGAGGACAGGTACACAGAGAATGACAAAGAGGTGTGTGAAGAACTCAACAAAAGGTTCCAGGAGGTCTTTACAATAAAACAGGGAGAAGTCACGGCGCTAGGAGAGGTGGCAGCAAACCAGGTGACCTTGGAAAGGTTCGAAATTACAAGAGATGAGGTCAAGAAGCACCTATTGGAGCTGGATGTGAGAAAAGCTGTTGGGCCGGATGGAATCTCACCATGGGTACTGAAAGAGTGTGCAGGAGCACTTTGCTTGCCACTCTCCATAGTGTATAGTAGGTCACTGGAAACGGGAGACCTACCAGAAGTATGGAAGACTGCTAATGTAGTACCAATATTTAAAAAGGGTGACAGACAAGAGGCACTGAACTACAGGCCAGTGTCCTTAACTTGTATACCATGCAAGGTGATGGAGAAGATTGTGAGAAAAAACCTAGTAACACATCTGGAGAGAAGAGACTTCGTGACAACCCATCAACATGGGTTCAGGGAGGGTAAATCTTGCCTTACCGGCTTGATAGAATTCTATGATCAGGTGACAAAGATTAAGCAAGAAAGAGAAGGATGGGCGAACTGCATTTTTTTGGACTGTCGGAAAGCCTTTGACACAGTACCCCATAAAAAGTTCATGCATAAGCTGGAGAAACAGGCAGGAGTAACTGGTAGAACGCTCCAATGGATAAGGGAGTACTTAAGCAATAGGAAGCAGAGAGTTATAGTGAGGGGTGAGACCTCAGAATGGCGTGAAGTCACCAGTGGAGTCCCACAGGGCTCTGTGCTTGGACCTATCCTGTTTCTGATATACGTAAATGATCTCCCAGAGGGTATAGACTCATTCCTCTCAATGTTTGCTGACGACGCCAAAATTATGAGAGGGATTAAGACAGAGGAGGAAAGCTTGAGGCTTCAAGAAGACCTGGACAAGCTGCAGGAATGGTCGAACAAATGGATGTTAGAGTTTAACCCAAGCAAATGTAATGTAATGAAGATAGGGGTTGGAAGCAGGAGACCAGATGCAAGGTATCACTTGGGAGATGAAATACTTAAAGAGTCAGAGAGAGAGAGAAAGACCTGGGGGTTGATATCACGCCAGACCTATCCCCTGAAGCTCATATCAAGAGGATAACATCAGCATATGCCAGGTTGGCTAACATAAGAACGGCCTTTAGAAACTTGTGTAAGGAATCTTTCAGAACATTATATACCACATATGTCAGACCAATCTTGGAGTATGCGGCTCCAGCATGGAGTCCATATCTAGTCAAGCATAAGACTAAACTGGAAAAGGTTCAAAGGTTTGCCACCAGACTAGTACCCAAACTGAGAGGTATGAGCTACGAGGAGAGACTACGGGAATTGAACCTCAATTCGTTGGAAGACAGAAGGGTTAGGGGGGACATGATCACCACATTCAAGATTCTCAAGGGAATCGACAGGGTTGATAAAGACAGGCTATTTAACACAAGGGGCACACGCACTAGGGGACACAGGTGGAAACTGAGTGCCCAAATGAGCCACAGAGATATTAGAAAGAACTTTTTTAGTGTCAGAGTGGTTGACAAATGGAATGCATTAGGAAGCAATGTGGTGGAGGCTGACTCCATACACAGTTTCAAGTGTAGATATGATAGAGCCCAATAGGCTCAATAACCTGTACACCTGTTGATTGACGGTTGAGAGGCGGGACGAAAGAGCCAGAGCTCAACCCCCGCAAGCACAACTAGGTGAGTACACACACACACACACACACACACACACACACACACACACACACACACACACACACACACACACAATCCTCAGAGGAATCGACCGGGTAAACAAGGATAAACTATTCAACACCGGTGGGACGCGAACAAGGGGACACAGGTGGAAACTGAGTACCTACATGAGCCACAGAGACGTTAGAAGGAACTTTTTCAGTGTCAGAGTAGTTAACGGATGGAATGCATTAGGCAGTGATGTGGTTGAGGCTGACTCCATACACAGTTTTAAATGTAGATACGATAGAGCCCAGTAGGCTCAGGAATCTGTACACCAGTTGATTGACAGTTGAGAGGCGGGACCAAAGAGCCAAAGCTCAACCCCCGCAAGCACAAATAGGTGAGTACAAATAGGTGAGTACACACAACAACTGTTGTCCCAACATGTGCTGTCAACACCCGTCTCCCAGGGTTTTTACCACTGTCTTGCCCCTGCTCTCAGGAGTTGTCTCCCATCTCCTGTGACCAAAAATGTCGGTGTCTAAGTTTCTGGGGCCAGTTGACGGCTAGTTTGGCCGCGTTGGACGTGCTCGGCATTACCTTGGTGGGCGGAGAGACGAGCCTCCCTGCACGACACACCGTGCACGGCGTGCAGTCTGTGGGGGTGGAGAGGCAGACAGGGAGATAGGGGGGGGGGGCTAGGAGGAGTAGAAGCTGGCAGGGAGTGGGGGGGGGGGGAGGGGGATAGTGATAGCAAAGGCAGGCCGGCAGGTAAGGGAGAGTATGGGCAAGCAGGTAGGGAAATAAGGAAGTGGGTTTGGGCAGGCAGGCAGGCAGGTAGGTAGGGCAAGTAGAGGTAGGCTGGGAGGTGATGGGAAAGGTATAAGCAGGCGGGCGGGTGATAGGAAGGTCGTCAAGCAGTTCTCAGGACTGAGACGTTATGCTTGAGACTCACGGAAGCTCGCCTTGTGCTGTCTCTCCCTCCTCTCACCCTCCTCTCCCCCTCTCTCCTCTCCCCCCTTTTCTCCCCCTCTCTCCTCTCCCCCCTTTTCTCCCCCCGTCTCTCTCCCACCTTCTCTCTACCCCCGTTCCCTTTCCCACTGTCAAAATATTCTCAGAAATATTTCGCTATTCAAATGCCATTGAGGTGGTCAGGGTGGCCGGCACCTGGCCATGCCTCAACACCCCAAGCACCGCTCCTCACACATAACCATAAAGCAAGAGTCCAGACACGCACGTGTGACTGAGAGAGTCCGGACCTCATCCAGGACACCCGGACATGGGCCACTAGGCCACCGTCTCTCTATGGGAGACGGGGGACGGGTTCCAAGTGAACATTGGAAGACGTTCCCGTTCTTTAAATATCAGAGATACTCAGCTTGACTGCTCCTCTTAGGTGTCTTGACGGCGGGGTAGATGTCTTGACGATGGGGTAGATGTCTTGACGATGGGGTAGATGTCTTGACGGCGGGGTAGATGTCTTGACGGCGGGGTAGATGTCTTGACGATGGGGTAGATGTCTTGACGATGGGGTAGATGTCTTGACGATGGGGTAGATGTCTTGACGATGGGGAAGATGTCTTGACGATGGGGTAGATGTCTTGACGATGGGGTAGATGTCTTGACGATGGGGTAGATGTCTTGACGATGGGATAGATGTCTTGACGATGGGGAAGATGTCTTGACGATGGGATAGATGTCTTGACGATGGGGTAGATGTCTTGACGATGGGGTAGATGTCTTGACGATGGGGTAGATGTCTTGACGATGGGATAGATGTCTTGACGATGGGGAAGATGTCTTGACGATGGGATAGATGTCTTGACGATGGGGAAGATGTCTTGACGATGGGATAGATGTCTTGACGATGGGGTAGATGTCTTGACGATGGGGTAGATGTCTTGACGATGGGGTAGATGTCTTGACGATGGGATAGATGTCTTGACGATGGGGAAGATGTCTTGACGATGGGATAGATGTCTTGACGATGGGGTAGATGTCTTGACGGCGGGATAGATGTCTTGACGATGGGGTAGATGTCTTGACGGCGGGATAGATGTCTTGACGATGGGGTAGATGTCTTGACGGCGGGGTAGATGTCTTGACGATGGGGTAGATGTCTTGACGATGGGGTAGATGTCTTGACGGCGGGGTAGATGGCTTGACGATGGGGTAGATGTCTTGACGGCGGGGTAGATGTCTTGATGATGGGGTAGATGTCTTGACGATGGGGAAGATGTCTTGACGATGGGGTAGATGTCTTGACGATGGGGTAGATGTCTTGACGACGGGATAGATGTCTTGACGGCGGGATAGATGTCTTAACGATGGGGAAGATGTCTTGACGATGGGGAAGATGTCTTGACGATGGGGAAGATGTCTTGACGATGGGGTAGATGTCTTGATGATGGGGAAGATGTCTTGACGGCGGGGTAGATGTCTTGACGATGGGGTAGATGTCTTGACGATGGGGTAGATGTCTTGACGATGGGGTAGATGTCTTGACGACGGGGTAGATGTCTTGACGACGGGATAGATGTCTTGACGGCGGGATAGATGTCTTGACGACGGGGTAGATGTCTTGACGATGGGGTAGATGTCTTGACGATGGGGTAGATGTCTTGACGATGGGGTAGATGTCTTGACGACGGGGCAGATGTCTTGACGACGGGGCAGATGTCTTGACAACTGGGCTAGGATTTGTTGACATTGTGGTGTAGGTGTAATACTGGGGATCACTGTGTCAGTAGTGGGTGTGGCGACGTGAACGGCGTGAAACCGCATGCGCCTTCTTTCATTCCCTCTCCTTCATTTAATTGTTCCCTTTCCCCTCACACCTTCACTCTCCCTCCCTACGTGTTTCTCCCTTAATTCTTCCATCTCCCTGACTCCTTCACTCTATCTCTCTTTTTCTCTTCCTCCCTTTCTCGCTCATGCACACTCACGTACACTAACGCGCGCACGCACACACACATGCACAAGCACGCATACATGCACACGCACGCACACATGCACACGCACGCACACATGCACACGCACGCACGCGCGCACACACTGCATTAGGAGCCTGACGGCTGAGTGGACAGCGCTCGGGATTCGTAGTACTAAGGGTCCGGGTTCGAACCCCGGCAGAGGCGGAAACAAATGGGCAGAGTTTCTTTCGCACTGATGCGCTTGTTCGCCAAGCAGTAAATAGGTACCTGGGAGTTAGACAGCTGGTACGGGCTGCTTCGTGTGTGTGTGTGTTTACTAGTTGTGTTTTTACGGGGGTTGAGCTTTGCTCTTTCGGCCCGCCTCTCAACTGTCAATCAACTGTTTACTAACTACTTTTTTTTTTTTTTTTTTTTTTTCTCCCCACACCACACACACACACACACACCAGGAAGCAGCCCATGACAGCTGACTAACTCCCAGGTACCTATTTACTGCTAGGTAACAGGGGCATTCAGGGTGAAAGAAACTTTGCCCATTTGTTTCTGCCTCGTGCGGGAATCGAACCCGCGCCACAGAATTACGAATCCTGCGCGCTATCCACCAGGCTACGAGGCCCCCCTCGTAGCCTGTGTGTGTGTGTGTGTGTGTGTGTGTGTGTGTGTGTGTGTGTGTGTGTGTGTGTGTGTACTCACCTAGTTGTACTCACCTAGTTGTGTTTGCGGGGGTTGAGCTCTGGCTCTTTGGTCCCGCCTCTCAACCGTCAATCAACAGGTGTACAGATTCATGAGCCTATCGGGCTTTGTCATATCTACACTTGAAACTGTGTATGGAGTCAGCCTCCACCACATCACTTCCTAATGCATTCCATTTGTCAACCACTCTGACACTAAAAAAGTTCTTTCTAATATCTCTGTGGCTCATTTGGGCACTCAGTTTCCACCTGTGTCCCCTTGTGCGTGTTCCCCTTGTGTTAAATAGACTGTCTTTATCTACCCTATCAATCCCCTTCAGAATCTTGAATGTGGTGATCATGTCCCCCCTAACTCTTCTGTCTTCCAGCGAAGTGAGGTTTAATTCCCGTAGTCTCTCCTCGTAGCTCATACCTCTCAGCTCGGGTACTAGTCTGGTGGCAAACCTTTGAACCTTTTCCAGTTTAGTCTTATCCTTGACTAGATATGGACTCCATGCTGGGGCTGCATACTCCAGGATTGGCCTGACATATGTGGCATACAAAGTTCTGAATGATTCTTTACACAAGTTTCTGAATGCCGTTCGTATGTTGGCCAGCCTGGCATATGCCGCTGATGTTATCCGCTTGATATGTGCTGCAGGAGACAGGTCTGGCGTGATATCAACCCCCAAGTCTTTTTCCTTCTCTGACTCCTGAAGAATTTCCTCTCCCAGATGATACCTTGTATCTGGCCTCCTGCTCCCTACACCTATCTTCATTACATTACATTTGGTTGGGTTAAACTCTAACAACCATTTGTTCGACCATTCCTTCAGCTTGTCTAGGTCTTCTTGAAGCCTCAAACAGTCCTCTTCTGTTTTAATCCTTCTCATAATTTTAGCATCGTCCGCAAACATTGAGAGAAATGAATCGATACCCTCCGGGAGATCATTTACATATATCAGAAACAAGATAGGACCGAGTACAGAGCCCTGTGGGACTCCACTGGTGACTTCACGCCAATCGGAGGTCTCACCCCTCGCCGTAACTCTCTGCTTCCTATTGCTTAGATACTCCCTTATCCACTGGAGCACCTTACCAGCTACACCTGCCTGTCTCTCCAGCTTATGTACCAGCCTCTTATGCGGTACTGTGTCAAAGGCTTTCCGACAATCCAAGAAAATGCAGTCCGCCCAGCCCTCTCTTTCTTGCTTAATCTGTGTCACCTGATCGTAGAATTCTATCAAGCCTGTAAGGCAAGATTTACCCTCCCTGAATCCATGTTGGCGATTTGTCACGAAGTCCCTTCTCTCCAGATGTGTTACCAGGTTTTTTCTCACGATCTTCTCCATCACCTTGCATGGTATACAAGTCAAGGACACTGGCCTGTAGTTCAGTGCCTCTTGTCTGTCGCCCTTTTTGTATATTGGGACCACATTCGCCGTCTTCCATATTTCTGGTAGGTCTCCCGTCTCTAGTGACTTACTATACACTATGGAGAGTGGCAGGCAAAGTGCCTCTGCACACTCTTTCAGTACCCATGGTGAGATCCCATCTGGACCAACAGCCTTTCTAACATCCAGATCCAGCAGGTGTCTCTTGACCTCCTCTCTCGTAATTTCGAACTCCTCCAAGGCCGCCTGGTTTACCTCCCTTTCTCCTAGCACAGTGACCTCACCCTGTTCTATTGTGAAGACCTCCTGGAACCTCTTGTTGAGTTCCTCACACACCTCTCTGTCATTCTCTGTATACCTGTCCTCGCCTGTTCTAAGTTTCAATACCTGTTCTTTCACTGTTGTTTTCCTTCTGATGTGACTGTGGAGTAGCTTTGGTTCGGTCTTGGCTTTGTTTGCTATATCATTTTCAAAATTTTTCTCTGCTTCTCTTCTCACCCTGACGTACTCATTCCTGGTTCTCTGGTATCTCTCTCTGCTTTCTGGTGTTCTGTTATTCCGGAAGTTCCTCCACGCCTTTTTGTTCAGTTTCTTCGCTTCCATACATGCCCTATTATACCATGGATTCTTCTGTTGCTTCTCGGATTTTTCCCTTTGGGCCGGGATGAACCTGTTTACTGCCTCCTGACACTTTTGGGTAACATAGTCCATCATACCCTGTACAGACTTGTCTCTGAGGTCTGTGTCCCAAGGTATTTCACTTAGGAAACTTCTCATCTGTTCATAATTCCCCTTTCGGTATGCCAGCCTTTTGATTCCTAGTTCTTTTTGGGGGGAGATAAGTCCTAGCTCTACCAGGTACTCAAAGTTCAATACACTGTGGTCACTCATTCCCAAGGGCGCTTCCATCTTAACTTCCCTTATATCCCACTCATTTAGGGTTAATATCAAATCAAGCAATGTGTGTGTGTGTGTGTGTGAAGAAAAAAATTGACTGCATCAGGCTGGCTCACTAGCCGGTCTGCATCAGGCTGGCTCACTAGCCGGTCTGCATCAGGCTGGCTCACTAGCCGGTCTGCATCAGGCTGGCTCACTAGCCGGTCTGCATCAGGCTGGCTCACTAGCCGGTCTGCATCAGGCTGGCTCACTAGCCGGTCTGCATCAGGCTGGCTCACGAGCCGGTCTGCATCAGGCTGGCTCACTAGCCGGTCTGCATCAGGCTGGCTCACGAGCCGGTCTGCATCAGGCTGGCTCACGAGCCGGACTGCATCAGGCTGACTCACTAGCCGGTCTGCATCAGGCTGGCTCCTGAGCCGGACTGCATCAGGCTGGCTCACGAGCCGGACTGCATCAGGCTGGCCCACGAGCCGGACTGCATCAGGCTGGCCCACGAGCCGGACTGCATCAGGCTGGCCCACGAGCCGGACTGCATCAGGCTGGCTCATGAGCCGGACTGCATCAGGCTGGCTCATGAGCCGGACTGCATCAGGCTGGCGCATGAGCCGGACTGCATCAGGCTGGCCCACGAGCCGGACTGCATCAGGCTGGCCCACGAGCCTGACTGCATCAGGCTGGCTCATGAGCCGGACTGCATCAGGCTGGCTCATGAGCCGGACTGCATCAGGCTGGCGCATGAGCCGGACTGCATCAGGCTGGCCCACGAGCCGGACTGCATCAGGCTGGCTCATGAGCCGGACTGCATCAGGCTGGCTCAGGAGCCGGACTGCATCAGGCTGGCCCACGAGCCGGTCTGCATCAGGCTGGCTCATGAGCCGGTCTGCATCAGGCTGGCCCACGAGCCGGACTGCATCAGGCTGGCTCATGAGCCGGTCTGCATCAGGCTGACTCACGAGCCGGACTGCATCAGGCTGACTCATGAGCCGGACTGCATCAGGCTGGCTCATGAGCCGGACTGTATCAGGCTGGCTCATGAGCCGGTCTGCATCAGGCTGGCCCACGAGCCGGACTGCATCAGGCTGGCCCACGAGCCGGACTGCATCAGGCTGGCTCACGAGCCGGACTGCATCAGGCTGGCCCACGAGCCGGTCTGCATCAGGCTGGCTCATGAGCCGGTCTGCATCAGGCTGGCCCACGAGCCGGACTGCATCAGGCTGGCCCACGAGCCGGACTGCATCAGGCTGGCTCACGAGCCGGACTGCATCAGGCTGGCCCACGAGCCGGACTGCATCAGGCTGGCTCATGAGGCGGTCAGTTGGACAGTTCCCATATGATGTCCCATTGGCAGGTACTGCAAGTAGGTTAGGCTTATCGAATCCCCCCCCCTCCCCCCCCCCCCTCATCCTAGGCCACCGACTGACTGTCCTCGTGATGCATCACACAACAGTCGCCTGAATCCCGGGTTCCTGATGCTAGGTGATCATGTGCTAAGGGGCGTGCCCAAACGTCTCGTCCTACCGGGGAATCGAACACGAGACAATTCAGTTGCGAGCCAGTAGTATGCTACACACACACACACACACACACACACACACACACACACACACACACACACACACACTAGATCGCTAATCATAAGTGTAAAGTATTTGAACAATATAACAACACATAATGAGCACTGAAGTGCATCAAAGTGTTGGAGTGTGTGATAAAGGTGTCTGGAAACACCTTAGGAGGTTCCTAACACTTTAGAACCTCCCAAGAATGTCATACTAAACGTATTATATATTGTTATCTGTACTGTGTGACAGCCATTGAATTAATGCCAATGTCCTTGTAATGGGAACTCTGACCATTATTAGTGTACTGCAGGCCTCCTGGAACCCCCCCCCCCCTTGACGGACCTGTCATGCAGGAGAATATTTTTTTTTTTAATGACAGAAATAGGCTAGACTACTCTATCGTTTTCGGATTTATATTATCTCAATAAACTTAGTTTGAATTGAACTTGAGCCACAGACACTGATGATTGAGGTGCTTAAATGGCTTTTGTGTGTGCGTGTGTGTGTGTGCGTGTGCGCGCGCGCGCGTGTGTGTGTGTGTGTGTGTGTGTGTGTGTGTGTGTGTGTGTGTGTGTGTGTGTGTGTGTGTGTGATATGACACATAGTTCCTCTGCGCTAGGCCTAACGGCTCTCTCTACTGGTCGGGCACACACATCGCTCCTGCAGTAGGCTCTCGACCGCACATTACATGCAAGGTCCTTGTATCAGGACTAGTGCTGCTGTGCCTTGTAGAGGGCGTCCACCGGTCCAACATCCTGGCAGCTCCTGCACTGGTTGAGTCCTCAGTCTGGCCACAAGCTAGACCTTATCATAGTCTAGACTCTTGTATTGAATTTGCAGCAGCCAATCGTGTGTACGGGGCCCGCAAGGTGCCAAAATGTCCACTGGCCCAGACTCTCCCTTTAAGGTGAGGGCCAATCATTAACTCACTGGCTCTGGTGCCTGGGGAAGAGCCAGATAACTCTTAGTCTCCATTGGGCGCGTAGCATCGATTATCTCATTAATTTAACTATTTCTCTATTTCAGCTAATTCAAATCATATATTACCAGAAGATAAAATTTATAAACTGCTAAATTATAGCGCAAGAGGTATAACATGCTTAGGAGGCGGGCCCCAGGAGCTAGACCTCACTTCCCTGTAGTAACTGATAAATAAGAAGCCTAATCAACAATAATTAGACTAAATTAAATCAACACTAACCACAGTGTTTTTTTTTTAATCTCATTTATATATTATATTAAATCCCTTTGCTAGTCCTGCAAACAATCTCTATCTACCTCCTCCTGCTTAACGTTTCTTTCTCTCCTATTGTTTATCTTCCTTACCCCCTCCACCTCCTTTATTACTCTTCAAACGTTTGTACGTTTCGTCAGATAATTGCAACCTTCATCAAATACGATCTAGCTGAATTGCATGGATAATTATTTTGCAATTGTTTATAATTAACACTGTTAGCAGAAATGTTGAAATGCATACAGTTGACGAACCTTATGATGTGTGGCAGCTCAAATAATCGGGCCCCAAGCTACCAACTCTGTGATTTGTTGAACAATAATAATTTGTTATTTTAAATATATAATTATTATTTACCATGCATAACTGGTCGGGGGATAATTGATGATTTTGTTGTGAATAGTTTTTTTTTTTTTGTACTTCCACTGTTTAGTTTGTACTGAAAACGCCTCAGGTCACTTATTTTGTATATGTGAATGAATGTTTATTATTGTTAAGTTAGGTTTGTTATCCCCTGGTGGATTTTTTTTAATTAATTTAATATCTATATAAATAAAAATGGAAATGTTCGTTTGTGCATAACTGATAAGCTCCGAAAGTTCTTCACCGATTGCGTTGAAATTTTCACACAACGTTCCATTAGCATCCGAGCAGGTTTTTATATACATACTATATAGATGTCACGTCTGTGACGGTAAAAAAAAACGTTTTTTTCTGAAAAACTGTTTTTCATGTGAGGGAAATCTTGGAAACCTCTTTACCGATTGCTTTGAAATTTTGACACAACGTTACAAACGAATAGGCGCGTCTTTTTATATACCTACTATATACATGCCTCACCTGTGACAGGAAAAAACATGATTTTTTTTTAAACAGCGCCATCTGTTGGACGTAAGAGCAACACACGCTGTAATCTCCGAAATTTCTTCACAGATTAATTTGAAATTTAACACAACATTGCATTCGAATAGGGGCGTTTTTTTATATACCTACTATATAGATGCCACCCCTGTGACAGGTAAAAACAAGCGTTTTTGAAAAACAGCGCCATCTGTTGCACATAATAGCAACATGCACGCTATACTATATATGTCACGAATTCCATTTCAATGTTTCCGGTTGCATTGATAAATTTTATTTTCATAAATTTCGATTTATTTTATTTTTTGTTTAATTATTTTGTGTGACATTGTGTTGGAACTGAGCTGTGTTGTTTACCATACCGTTCATTTCGTAAGTATAAGTATAGATGCCACACCTGTGACAGGTAAAACTATGCTTTTTTTGGAAAACAGCGCCATCTATTGCATGTAAGAACAATACACATGCTATACTAAATATGTTACAATTCCATTTCAATGTTTCTGATTAGATTGATAAATTGAATTTTCATACATTTTGATTTAATTATTTTGTGTGAATTGCGTTGGAATTGAGCTGTGTTGTTTACCATACTGTTCATTTCGTGAGTATAGCTTATTTTTTATTTGTTCATATTTTCATTTCATTTTTTAACTGTTTTTCTTATATTTCAGTGATGGGAACATCAGATCACTTGATGTTCCCAATTTTCTGATGGGAACATCAGACCATTTGGGAAGGCATCGGACGAGGGAGTGGGGCATGGTGGGGAGGACGAGGGGACGGAAGTGAGAGAAGGTGGGGAGGACGAGGGGACACGGGAGAGGGTAATGGTGGGGAAGGACGAGGGGATAGGGGAGTTTGGGATGGTGGGACGAGGGGGATGGGGGAGTTTGGGATGGTGGGGACGAGGGGATGGGGGAATGGAGAATGGTGGGGACGAGGGGGTGGGGGAATGGAGAATGGTGGGGACGAGGGGATGGGGACTGGAGAATGGTGGGGACGAGGGGATGGGGGACTGGAGAATGGTGGGGAGGACAAAGGGACAGAGGAGTAAGGCATGATGGGAAAGAAGAGGGAATGGTGGAGTGGGAAGACGAGGGGACGGTGGAGTGGGGAATGGTTGGGAGCCAGAGGAGACGGGTGAGGGGGAGAATGGTGGTAAGGACTGGGGGACAGGGAAGGTTGCTGTGGTTCAGCAACCCACATGCGTTGCTGAGCCACAGCAATACGTGGCTGTGTACTGCTAGTATATATATATATATATATATATATATATATATATATATATATATATATATATATATATATATATATATATATATATATATATATATATATATATATATATATATATATATATATATATATATATATATATATATATATATATATATGTCGTACCTAATAGCCAGAACGCACTTCTCTGCCTACTATTCAAGGCCCGATTTGCCTAATAAGCCAAGTTTTCATGAATTAATGTTTTTTCGTCTACCTAACCTACCTAACCTAACCTAACCTAGCTTTTTTTGGCTACCTAACCTAACCTTACCTATAAATATAGGTTAGGTTAGGTTAGGTAGGGTTGGTTAGGTTCGGTCATATATCTACGTTAATTTTAACTCCAATAAAAAAAAATTGACCTCATACATAGAGAAAAGGGTTGCTTTATCATTTCATAAGAAAAAAATTATAGTAAATATATTAATTCAGGAAAACTTGGCTTATTAGGCAAATCGGGCCTTGAATAGTAGGCTGAAAAGTGAGTTCTGGCTACTAGGTACGACATATATATATATATATATATATATATATATATATATTACACACACACACACACAAGCACACTTGTACCAGGGTAAACAAAACAACTTGTCTAGGGTAGGTAGACAATTGTACCCGGGTAGATGGATAAATGGGAGACCCCCCCCCTCCTCTGGTCTGTCTCCCATGTATCCATCCATACGTCTAACCATAAATAAATCCATCCATCTAGCAATCGATCTATCCATCCAAACGTCTAACCATAAATAAATCCATCCATCTAGCAATCGATGTATCCATCCAACTATCCGTATATTGTAACGACCCCCGCGTCTGATCCCGCACAGTCACCCCCATGAAAGTCCAGGGTACACATGCCCCAGACACAGGCCCCTCAAATGTGACGCCCACGAGAGGGTCTGGAGGTTACATTTAAAAAGAAAAGAAAAATCAAACTACGTAGCGAAGAACTCCTTCCTCTCAGCACTCCGGCTCTTGGTGGGAGAAGCCCAGCCTGTGTCAGCCACACACACACACACACACACACACTGTTGTTGGCTATGGCCTGCTGTTAATCGCCACTCCCTGTTGCTGACACAATTAGCCTGTCAGATTAGCATTGGTGCCTCGCCGTGGCTAGCTAGACTGTCAGCCTTGAGTCAGATCAGCTTCTTCCCCCAAGGGCACTAAGGAAGGGACAATGACAGTTTAATCTAGTGTAACAACATTTACTGAAACAATCACATAACACTCATCAAAATCACCAAAATAAATCCCATAATACATATGACTTAAGTATGTAACTACCTTAATGTAATGTTTTTATAGCCTAATCCGGCTTGTCTCCAGGTAGCCTCGTCTGCACAATTTGTACGCAATTTCT